TACTAAGCATCTGCGTGATTCCCTTGCAACAAGCAGGCTTAGGCCACCCACAATTCGGAATATGCCTTTTTGTCCAAGTTGCCGAAGAGTTTGCATCATGTGTGTGTGTAAGATGCCTTTAGCGCAGAAATGATGAGCATAGGAAAGGTTAATTGGGAGTAGCGTAAATTCGTTTTGGAGGGGAAACCGAGATGCGAAGGTAAAAGTCGCTCATGTAAATGAGGCTGCGTCTCCAATTTCAGGAATGTTCGACATACAAATAATGGTGGAAATCTGGTAGACATGTTTTGCTGTCGCATGTGCTTTTGGCGAGGATCACATCACGGCACTGAATGCCAGCGATGGAGGTCACAAGTGAGGTGAACAGTGCTACAATGCAAAAAAGTGACATGCAGTTTAAAAAGGAGGTGCAGGTTTTGGGGCACGTCCAGTTGAGTAAAGACGGCCACCAATTCTCCGCAAAGGTGGATGTGAGGCGGTAGTTAGGCAAATAGATTCACTGTTTCGGAGATCTGCCCGTGTATGATAGTGGAAGAGGAGGTGGAGGAGGAGGACGCGGACGAGGAGATCAAATGACCATTGGAGCAGGTCCTACACTTCCATCCAGAGGTAGTCATGCTTAACTCCCTTCCATTGTCGCCTCTTCCTCCTTCTCCTCCTACTCATCCTCCCCCTCCATCTTCATCATCATCACCGCTATCGTTAGCGTAATTATCATCATCATCAAATCATCGCTGTAAGACAAATAGACACGAAGCAGTCTTGGTGATTTGTTATTGAAATTCTACGCAATTTGTCCGCATGGATCCGTTGGCAGTGGTTGTATTGCATCACCTTGCAAGTGGAAGTCATCGGACCAGTTTATCTGTCTGTAAGTGGGGAACGAGAATGGCCATACTGATGCCGATGCCAAATGTGCGTCACGTCGACAACAAAATCGGTTCTTCGCATGGTGGGCAAAGGCCGCATCCATTGATGATCTACATTTCATAGATTCTGATGAGGTTGTGTGCATCACTGATAAGAGGTGGGAGGTGTAGGTTGATGTGGATGGGTGGCACACATGGGATGGCGCGTAATTGCCGCAGTTAAAGCTACTGTTCCTCCACTCTCCAGTAACAGCGTTGAAGGAGATACAGTTATGAGAAAGCGTACACGACTGCTGGAATCACTCCTTCAGTGACTGCCATAATTGCGCCTAGACAATTTCCATGTTACGGCGAAGGCGTCACTAGCATACCTTCCTGCGACAACGACTCCTACGACTGCTACTCACGAGGCCGCCAACATCGTGACTATGCACGGTTCCCCATACTGCTGCTGCTGCTGCATTCGCGAGGTGCCAACCTGCAACCCAGCCACTGACAGCGAGCCGCTCTCTGTGTCAGCCGCATTGACCACTCCGCAACACCAACACCACCACCACCACCACTTACTGCAGTGAGAGCTTCCAAAGAGCAAAGCGGGTGCTGTAGCACCTTGCCCACACGTTCCTCTGTCTCCACCCGCCCCCTCCCTTTAAGAGAGGCCAGTGTATGGATGCAAACGAGCATTCGCTCCTCCCTCACAATCAGGCTGTAAACACATGTCGACAATGTTTAACTAGGACTCGGTGATGGTGCATGGTGGGCGGATAAATTATCGTTTTAACTAGGAAGGCGCATATTTGACGACAACTGCGGAGGACCTTGCTGGCAGGCCGTGTGCCGTTTCAGGTGCATCATATTAGGACACGAGATTGTTCGCGCCACAAACGCACGAACCGGGGAA